CCAGAAAACCAGGAAACAGCGTCCCTGGCAGGTGAGAAGGCAGGAAAGAACAGTGCCTTCAAGGAACTGAAGGTGGCTGGGCCTCAAGAGCCAGTGAAAAGTGGAAGAAAGTACTTAGGCATCACCTCTTCTTTTAGATGAAGAAATGGAGGCAAAGAGGTTGAATGGCTCAGGTAGGGTCACCCAGGAGGTCAGCAAGAAATGAGCTCCAGTGCTCAAGTCCTGGCCTGTGGCACTTGCTACCGCACTTGCTGCTTAGGGGCTAGGTTTGGGGCGATAGAGAAGGTGGCTTGGGAGGCTCGGAGGAGTGGAGCAGGTCAGCAATGCTCATCCTCACAACAGGAATCTAGAGGTTGGATTTCCCAGGAAGCCGTGTTTAGGTTTGGGGAGGGAAGGTCCGTAAGGTATCCCATAGGAGGTGGAGCCGGCAGGGTTTCCATGGGAAAGGGATGGACAACCAGATTAGGGACCAGGCGGTGTCAAGGCCTTCCAGGGCAAGGGGGACAGAGTGAGGGGTCGGGCAAGGCAGCCTGGAGGGAGCAGAGGTTCCCGGGGAGGATTTGGAACCAGTGGAGTGATAAGGGACTAGTTTTTCGCTGCATCTCCCCTGACCTTTATCACCAGTGGGAATGGTATGGGGAGGTCTTCTCAGCTCTGGTTTGTTAAAATAAACAAGAAACTCTGCCTAAATCTAACCAGGGCCGCCTAAGACAACCCTTGGTCACCAAACGACCCGGCTGTGGGCTTCNCCTGAGAAGCTGTCGCAGCCAAGAGGAGCCTAAGAAGACATGCCCAGTAACTGGCCTGTGGTATCTTGGAACAGAAAAAGGACATTAGGTAAAAATGAAGGAAATCTAAAGCATGTGCTTTGGTTAATGAGAATGTATCCATATTGTTCATTCATGGTAAAAATTTAAAAGACATCTACTATAAAATGATTTTTAAAAATTATAATTTAAAAATCATTTTAAAAATTACTTAAAACACCTAGAAATTTCATTTTTAAAATTGAAGAGTGTGCATCTGCCCCCTTGATGTTTAACTCAGATATTTCTCCTTCCTCCGGGTGTTACAATCTGTGGTCACCCAAATACAGGCACCAAGTTTGCCCTTTCCCCTGCTTGGTTCTTCCATCCTTAGATTATGAGTTTTTAGAGACAAGGACCTGCTTTCCAGCCCAGTTCACTTCCTTTTCCCTATCTCTCCCATCCTTTCTCTCTTCTATGGTTTGGCAAAGGGGCTTCCCACATAGCTGAACTCAGTAGTAATCACGGTCCCTTGAATTTGTCCAAGAGTCTACAGTTTGTCGAACATGTTCCTGTATATTAATCTCACTTTTCACCACAGCCCTGGGAATGGACTGTTATCATCACGCCTGTTTTACAGATGAGGGAACTGAGGCTCAGAGAGTTTGGGTAACCTGTCCAGAGTCACCCAGGATAGTAAGCAGTGGAGGGAGCAGGAACTAGGAACTTCTGTGATGCTTTTGGTAGGGTTTTGACCCTCCCCACTCTCTTCTAAACTGGGCTGTGGGGAGGGGCACCCTGGAGCCAAAGTCTGGGGGCCCATGTGACTTTTGGGGGTAGAGTCAGGGTGACCCACCTGAGGGGCCTCGAGAACATTTGCCAGGTTACAATGTAATGGGGCTCTGCTGTTATCACAGCTTTGACAGTTCTTGGCCAGGAGCCCTCGGCTAAGAAGCCAGGGGCCTGCAGAGGGGGCAGGGCTATGGGGCAGAGGAGAAAGTTCAACAGGGGCCCAGTGAAAACTCAAGGTGAGAGGAGGTCAGCTTTTGAATTTCCTGGACCCCCCGGGGGCCACTCCAAGTGGCAATCACCTGTAAGAATAGGTTGTCACCAGCAATTACAGAGCCATGTTTAGTGGCAGGGTCAGCCTGTCTCCAGCCCTTCCTCCAGTTGGGCAGACGTTTCTCTGCTGACTCCAAAGCCTGCAGTGGAGGTGGCTCATGGTCAGAGCAGTTCTGCGAACATGGTTTGAATTATTTGGTGAGGCTTCAAGCCTTCTGGGAAAGAGGGTGGGATCTGGTGGATTAACCATCGCTGGGCATGGCAGGACGATGGGAATGTGCAAATCCAAGGTCACCACCGCCCTGGTGGTGACCTGAGTGAGTCTCAGGCTTGAAAATGTAGGTAAGGGAATTAATTTCACCTCCACATTCCCTCATCACAGCATCATGGCAACTCAGAGGGAGTCTGGGGCTATGCAAATCTTAGAAAGATTTAAAATCAGGTCACAGTTCTTGCCTTTGGCAATTTTTAGTTATGTGGCCGTAAATGTTCCCCACCCCCATCCCCTGCCCAGTTTTCTTATCTGCATAGCAGGGGTGAAAATATTTACTCAGACTCGGG